AACAAACTCTGGTAAAAAAAAATTATTTACAGGAGAAACCTACATAAATGCACTGACAAACTAAGGCAGGAAGATAACCAGACAGACACAAACAGACAGATATTCAGACAGGCAAACAAACAAACACTCAATCAAATGAACAAAAACAGATCATTCCGACATCTTATCAGCTTTTTTGCACGCACAGAAAAGTTAAGAAAGTCGGTGGCAAAGTTTCTACATAAACAGACAATTATTTCTCATTCAAGGTAGACTTTAAAAAGAATTTTCAACGTCATTATCATAAACATCAACAACACATCATCAGTATCAAAGTCACAAGTTGAATAAATGAAGGAATGGATGAAAATAGAACAAAGTGTGTGCGCGCGCGCGTGTGTGTGTGTGTGTATGTGTGTCTGTGTGTGTGTGTGAGAAAGAGAGAGAGAGAGAGAGAGAGAGAAAGGAAAGAATTAGGATGATGAATAAAAGTGAATTTACAGCATAATTTCTCAACGCCATCAATCATCAAACGACCGAATACGACTTGTCCTAGACTTTGTGTGCGTGTGTGTGTGTGCGTGCGTGTGTGTGTTTGATTGATTGTTTGATTTCGCCATTTTTAAGACGAAAAAATACAATACGATATAATACAATACAATACAATACAAAACCAACAAAACAGTTCTCAAAAACGAAACCGCAAAACAAAACTTTCCCCAAAAAAAGTACTAAATAAACTCTCAGAGAATGAAATGGAAAAAACTTAAAAATGGACAACATCAACAGAAATATTAAATAAAAATATAAAAATTTTTCCATTGCAGTTGAAAGTTAGAAAACGAGAAGAGAGAGAGAGAGAGAGAGAGAGAGAGAGAGAGAAAGAGAAAGAAAGAGAGAGAGAGAGAAAAAAAAAGAGAGAGAGAGTAGGGAAGAAATAGAAAAAGAAGGAGTAAAAAAACAGAAAGAAAGAGTGAAGGAAAAATAGAAACGGACGGACAAAAAAAGAAAAGAATGAAGAAAGATAGAGAAAAAAAAGAAAGACAGAAACAGAGGAAGAGAATAGAAAGAGAGAAAGAGAGTTTAGTAGAAAAAGAAGAGGAAGAATAGAGAGAGATGAGAAAGAGAGAGAGAGAGAGAGAGTAGAAAAAAAAGAGAGACCACTAGGCACGTTGATGTTAACACGGAACAATGAAGAAGAATAGGAGGGATCCGT